CTGACTCCTGGGCTCTGCACTCAGGAATCACTCCTGACGGTGCTCCGGGAACCACATGGGATACTGGGGATCGAACCCGGGTCAGCCGTGTGTTAGGCAAATGCCCTCCCCGCTGTGCTATCGCTCAGGCCCCTGGGGTGTAGATATTTGACAGTAAACCTGGGAGGTGGGTTGGTTGTTGTCACGCCTCTCCTTGGCTTTTATTTTGGGGGCGGGGGGTGGAGCACACCCAGCAGTGTTTGGGGCTCATTCTGGCCCCTGCGCTCAGGAATCAACTCCAGGTGGGACTCAGGAACGCTATGGGGTGCCGGGATTGGCCCTGGGTCAGGCGCCTGTAAGGCAGGTGCCGTCCCTACTGTCCCACCACTCCAGCTCCGAGGGGTCGCTCGCTCTCCTGCTCTTCACCCCAAGTATCCTATATCCTGGGTTGTCAAAAATGGTCACAGGGCTTCCCGCCCTGGGGACGCCACCCAGTCGGGACCCATGTGCGTCTGCGTCTCTTCCCAGGTGCTGGCGCAGGGCTTCACCCAGTCCTTGCTCTTGGATGATGCTGGGTCAGTGCTGGCCGCGGCCACCAGCTGGGAGGAGCTGGAGATTCAGGAGGAAGCGGAGTCCGGCCACAGCGTCACGTCCAAGATCCGCCTGCCCGTGCAGGTGAGTGGGCAGCCAGGGGGGCCATGGGTCCATCTGCTGCTCAGGGGCCCCCTGAGCACCCCGGCCTACCCACCCAGTCATGGATCAGGGTGCCATTCGCCCCCTCTTGTCAGCATCGGGGCAGATGGAGACCCTGGGCCTCTGTTCCCACAGCCATCCTGGTACGTGCAGTCCTTCCTGTTCGGCCTGTGCCAGGAAGTCAACCGGGTCGGCGGCCACGCGCTGCCCAAGGTGACCCTGCAGGAGATGCTGAAAAGCTGCCTGGCGCAGGTGGTGGCCGCCTACGAGAAACTGGCCGCAGACAAACAGACAAAGGTAGGTTTGAGATGGGGCCGAGACACACACAGAGCCCCCTTGGCTTCCTCCCGGCTCTGGGCAGCTGACAGCCAGGCCTCTCGGGCACGGGAGGGATGGCACAGTTGTCCCACCAGAGGCGTTCCATGCGCCCTGACCATCTCGGCAGCACCACCAGCCAGGGTCCCAGAGCCAGGGAGCTCTCCACCTCCAGCCCTGCCCGCACGCCCAGGCTGGGGCTGATCGTTAACCTGCCTTCCCTCGCTCCTGGGGTCCAGCACCACCAGGCGAATCCCCTGCCGCAGTGACAGAGGGAGGGGGCTGCAGAGCGCAGCAAGTACCCCGGGGTCTCTTTGCCCCGCCTCCCGCTCCCTGCCTGCTCCTGTAGCTTCCTGTCTCCTTAGCAATGTCAGGACACAACCCGCCCCTGCTTGGGGACACTCAGGGCAGCCCCTGCCCAGCGTCCGAGTCCCTCTCCTTCAGGCACATTTTCCCTCGCAGCGGCGACAGACGCCAAAGTCTCTTTCTCAGCGAGACTCTCCTCCCTGCTGTTAGTCTTAAGAATGTTTCTGACATTCCTGGTCTGGGTCACTGCTGGGAGGAAAAGGCTGCAGCTTCCCAAACAGCAGGCTCTGAGCGCAGCCAAACAGGCGTTTCCCAGCCCCCTCACTCCCCTCCCACCCGGGAACCGGACAGGCATTGACCAGCCTTCTTTCCCCTCTTGCCCGGGGGCCATGGACCGATATGCAGAAAGAAGGGGCCTTCCCAGTGACCCAGAACCGCGCCCTGCAGCTGCTGTATGACCTGCGCTACCTTAGCATGGTGCTGACCGCCAAGGGGGACGAGGCCAAGAGTGGCCGGAGTAAACAGGACTCCAGGTACCCTCATTCTCCGGTGCATCCAGCAGTCTCCTGCCAAAGAGCCCCTTTTTGAGTGAAGAGGCGGCCTGTGGGCACGCGTGTCTGGTGTGTGTAGCAGCCTTTCAGAGCATGGGTGTGCCCATGTGGGAGGCCCACTGAAATTCACCTAACGGGCATGCACACCGAGGCCTGTTGGAGTACATGAACGTGTGTAACGTGTGTGCATGTGGAGACCTATTAGAGTGAACGGAGGCCTATTGGAGCACATGCATATGTCTAACGTGTATGCATGCCAAGGCCTGTTGAAATAAATGCATGTTTGTAATGTGTAAGTGTGCGGAGGCCTGTTGGAGCACATGCATGCATCTAATGTGTAAGCATGCAGAGGCCTGTCAGGGCACATCATGCAAACAGCAGGTTGTATGTGTAGGAGCTGTTGGCACATATGTATGACAGCAGAGCCTGTGTGTGGTGGTGGCCTGTCGGAGCAGCTGTAAAGCACTGTGTGTGTGGAGGTATCCCGTCAGCGTGCACGTGTGTAACACGCAGGAGACTTGTTGGAGTGTGGACGGCCTGTCTGCACATGTCTGTGACGGCACGTGTGCGAGGTGGCTTGTGGGACTCTTGTGTGCACGTGTGTGCGGTGGCCTGGCAAGAGTGCATGTAACGTGTAGGAGACTCATTGTGCAAGGGGCACACGCAGCCTGTCCGTGCACATCTCTGAGAGCACGTGTGCGCATGCAGCAGGTTGTATATGTGCATGTAACAGCACACGGTGCATGTGACCGTGCTCAGGTTGTGGGCAGGGAAGTAGTGGCAGGCTCATGCCTCTTGACCGATTCAGCCGGCAGCCAGTGGGTCTGACTGGCACCTCTGCCCTCCCCCATAACACGGGGAAGGAGCGGGCTTGTCCGAGACGCCCCGTCAGATTCAGGTGCCCGGGGATGATGAGGGGGACCACGCCGGGACATGGAGAATGAAAAGTGCAGGGCTATGACAGCGAGCCTGAGCCGGCCCCTTTTCCAGAACTGAGAAGGTGGTAGACTACCTGGAGGGTCTCATCGACCCCTTCGACCTGGACGTGTTCACGCCGCACCTCAACAGCCACCTTCAGCGCCTGGTGCAGAGAACATCCGTGAGTCGCCCACCAGGGGTCCCGCTCCAGGAGGCGGGGGCGGTTCCCAGGGTGAGGAACGGACTCCCAGAAGCCACCAGCCCAGAGCCTGGAACAAAGCCAAAGAGGAAGCAGCAGTTGGAGTCTGGCGATGGGCAACAGAGGGACCCCGAGCCTTCTCCGAAGGGCGGGGGGCTGTAGAGAGGCCCAGCTCCTGCTTCCCCGGAGCTGGCAGCCCAGGCACAGCTGAGTTCCTGCCTCTCCTCCGCCAGGTCCTCTTTGGGCTTGTGACGGGTCCGGACAGTCAGTTTGCCCCCAGGAGCGGCACGTTCCACTCCCAAGAGCCCCATAATATCCTTCCACTGGCGTCCAGCCAGATCAGGTAAGGCCCGCCCCACCCCACCCTGCGGGACCCCGCCTCTGTCTACATGCCCCCCTAAGCCCCTTCTCCTTGGTCTTGGAGGTTCGGGCTGCTGCCTCTGAGCATGACGAGCACTCGCAAGGCTAAGTCCACCCCTAGGAGCACGGAGAGCAAAGCCCAGGTCAGTGTCGAACCGGGAGGCTCCTCCCTGGGGCCCCACCCCCTGCCCCCAAGACGTTCCCCTAAATAAGCAGTTGGGCACAGTGATGCTCTAATGCTGCTTTAATGGTGGCGCGATACACACAGTACAAGGTCTCCCCAGCACAGCCAGGCCCGGTGGGGGTTGCAGGGGCCACAGGCTAGGACAGAAACGAGCTCATTTGCAGGCACACAAGAGTCCACTGTTGGCCCGGGCTTGCCCCCCAGCTTACTTGGAAAAGGGGGGCTTGGCTTTGGGGGGTGGGCTCCCCCGTCGTCCGGTTCTCCCAGGCGGGTGGGGAAGGAAAGAAATCCGCCTCCTCACGTCCTCAGTTTCCACACGTTGGCTCCCATGGGCTCGTCTGCCTGGGTGTTTCCGCCCGGGGGAGCTGGCCTGACAGCGTTTAGTAGTCTGCTTTATTGCTGAGTAGGATGCTATTTGCACGCGGGACTGCCTCTACCTATCACCCTAAGCATCCAAAATACCTGTCACGCCTCTGATCCAAAACCTCGCGAGATGGCAGCGGAAGCTTCTCACACACGCTGTCCAGCCCTGCTGACCTTTCCTCACAGTGCTCGGTTCTCCCCCTCAGAGGGACAGGACGCGGCACGGAGGCAGAGGTGCTGCCCTTTTCTACCTCGCCTCCACCTGCCCCAGAAGAAACCTCTTTGTGCCCCATGTCCCTGTCAGGCCTTGCTGGGAGCCCCGTGCACTGGGCTGGCCATGCTTCTCTGAGGGGCGCGGGCAGGTGTGCCGGCCGGGGGCCTCTGAGACATTCTCTGCATATAATGACAGGTGGCCGCTCCGGCCCTCTCCCAAGCTGGTGACCCGTCGCAGCCCGGCTCCCTGTTCCGACAGCTCGTCAGCGAAGAGGAAGACTCGTCTACACCGTCACTGTTCAAGCTCGGCTGGCTCTCGAGTATGACCAAATAACGCGGGCCCCACCCGCCTCGTTCTCAATTAAACACTACTGCCGCCTTTGTTCTCTCGAGCCTGCGTCTGAGTCACCAGCTTCCCCAGGGTCTCTAGGCCCCAGGCCCTGGGCTCACTGGAGCTCCTACCCCTGGCTGACCCTGGCCTTCACCGTCCCAGTTCCGCTGTCATGGAGGGAAATGCGTTCTGCTGTCCCCATATCCTCTGTCATCCTCGCCAGGAGGCCCCCAGCCCGAACGGTCCCCACTGGCCTTGGATGGCTTGGGCTCTGGGAGGTGGTCGTGGGCCCCCAGTTCTCAGCACCTCCGGGGACTCTCGCCCCTGGGCTCAGCAGAAGCTGCTGGTGTCTTGGCTGTGCGAGCAGGACGAAGGCACGCGAGTGACCAGCCTCCACGGGCCTGGCCCCAGCAGGGGGAAGAGGCGACAGTCCGTAGGGAGCCACTTCCCTGGCACCATGGGGCAGGGGCGGGCCCTCTGGACTAAGGCAGCTTGGCAGACAGTTCCAGCCCAAGGCTGAACAAGCGTTCTACAGTCTGGAAAGGAAACTTAGGTTGTTTTTGTTTTTTTTTCTCCATGGAAACTAGATACTCTTTACTAGTTTATTGAATTAAAAAAATTGGAAGATCCCGCATTTAAAAGGCCTTTTTTTTACATCAAGTAGAATTTCTAATGGACAGGTTTGGAGATCGGTCGGAATTAGACAAACTATGGGTTCAACACGCAGATGAGATTTCCTTATACTGTTAACCTTGACAGAGATTGAGACCCACCCTCAAAAGATTCCTATAAAAAAATTGCTCCGAAGCCCCTTTGAAATTGCAATAGTGCAGCAAAACCACAAGTAAACAACCACCTGTTAAGCTGTTATTTCAAATATAGAGTGAAAAGCCAACAGGCATCTTTGTGCAAGTTTCCAACATCCGCCTGGGGATATGCCGTGTGCGGGCGCTGTCCCTTCACAGAAGGCCAGGCCGCGGGTCAGGTGGGCGGCCGGCCCCGGTGCTGCAGGCTGTGGAAATGCGCCTCCTTGAGCGTCTGGTTGATGTGGAAGTAGGGGCCCTGGCACAGCGCCGACTGCTCAGGCGCTGGCTGTGGTGTGTTGGGACTGGACCCAGCGGCGATGGGGTTCAAGCTGCCCTCCGGCCCACTGCCCCGGTCCGGGCTGTTGATGCTGCTGCTGCTGCTGCCGCCGCTGTCGCTGCTGGAAGACTGGAAAGGAAACAGACACAGTCCCATCAGAACCTGTTGTGCTCGGTGCGTTGTGGGTGAACTTGGAGCAGACGGGGTAAGGGGAGGTTTTCTTGGGTGGTCTGACCCAGGCCTGGCATCAAAGTGCAAGGGTGGGCGCAGCGACCAGCCACTCACTGCCCAGAGACTTCCACCTTCAGCCCTGGTGGGATCCGGATCCCGGGGTCAGCCTGTGGTGGTGGGCCAGGCCAGACTCAAGCTCACGCCGGCCTGCTGCAGTCACTTCTGCTCCCTCTTTGGCTTTTTGGTGGAGTGCTGACCCACACCCAGGGGTGCTCTGGGCTTATCCTTGGCTCTGCACTCAGGGATCCCTCCCGCAGGCCCGGGGAGCACATGGGGTGCTGGGTATGGAACCTGGGCCAGGCAAGTGCCTTCCCCAAGTCCTCTCCTCAGCCCCTGACTCAGCGTCTCGACCTGCCTGCCCCAAGTGCCAGCGATCAGAGGAGGAAGTTCTCAGAGTACAGAGTGTACAAAACAATAAAAAAATAAAACACCAAAGAGAACAAGATGGGGCCAGAGTGATAGTACAGTGGCTAGGGCACTTGCCTTGCAAGTGGTGAGCCCATGTTCCATCCCCGGCAATCCCAGGAGTAACCCCTAGCACTGCCAGGTGTGACCCCAAAACCAAAACAACAGCAACAACAAAACCCAAAGAACAAGCCCCTGGTCTGAAAAACCAACCCCTGCAAATCCAGCTCACAGCTACAGGCACTCACAGGTGGATTCTGACCTGTCACGGGGCAAGGGAGTGTGGGGGGGGGGGGGGAGCTGGTTGTGCCGAGGGTGACCACAACCACCAGTCCAGTGCTGCAGAGGGACATGGGTGCGTGTGCACACGCACCAGGCGGGCAGCGCATGGGCGCGACTTTCCTTCTCTGAGGTGCCCTGGATGGGCGACAGCCCCAACACAGCCATATGCCCAGTGCCCTGGGGGCTGCTTCGGAAACCTGCCTGCGGGCCCCCTGCGCCAGATGGACACGGCAGAGGTAAGCAGGGTGTGCCCAGGCGACCTGGCACCCACTGGGGGAATCAGAGGTGCTGGGCAATGATGGCGGCTGAAGGGGCCTGGAAGGATGGGGAGCAGTCTCTCAACCATTTTAGGGGTATGGGTCACGTGGCAGATTGAAGGAGTGACCCCTGGCAATGCCCAAGAGATCCTATGAAGCCCTGAGGACAAACAGGGGTCGCCCACGTGCAAGGCCAGTGTCCTTCCTGCTGCACCAGCTCTCTGCCACCCCCTATGGCGAGTTTATTTGGGGGCCGTACCTGTGGTTGCACAGGTTTCACTCCTGCAAGGATGCACGTGGGCTGGCGACAGGCAGGGCAAACCCCTGACCGCTGAACTATGCCCTGGCCCTAGGGGAGTCTCTGAAGCAAGGTGTGACAAGCTGGATAAAGCGGAAGAATGGCTGGGCCCGCCACCTGCTGCGCTACCAGAGCAAAGCCGCCACCAAAGGAGCAGCAAGCAACACCAAGAGAGGGGGCTTCCGGCAAGCCTGTGTGAGCACCCCCCGGTGGGCACATCTCCAAGAGGAGGGGTGTGGGGTGCCCAACAAGCCCCCAGGAGAGCATGCGAGCACCCCAGGGGGCAGCACCCAATTATCCCGCCATGGCCAAAAACCCCACGTGAGCACCAGCGGCCAGGCATGGCCACAGTGAGCCTAGAGGGGGGGTCATCCAACAAACCCCCCAACATGGTCAGAGCAGCCAAGACCCCCGCCGCAGGGAGTGTGGTGCAATGCACTGGTCAGCACAGAGTTCAGCTTTTCCTGACACAGGAGTTCCCTGGGCCCTGCTCGTGGTCGCTGCCTGGCCTCGACCCAGCACCAACACTCTGGGGAGGCTGTCAGGGTTGTGTCACCCAAACTGTCCCCAATGAGCAGAGACCAGAGCAGGCGGTGCTGTGCCGAGTAAGTCACTCCTACTCTGTCATATTTTCTTAGTAACTATGGGTTATTTCACAGTAATCTGAAAAAAATCAAAGTGAATTTTCTAAGTTCAGGGCATGACCCCCAAATGCAGTGTCTGTATCAGAGATGGGTTCTGCGTCCACATGGAGCCACGCCTTCTGTAAGGCCGGGAAGCCACACTGACCTGGAACAACCAGAACCACTAGGAATGGAAAAGTCAAAGCAAAAGCTCCCAACTCCTGGAGCTGGAGCGATAGCACAGCGGGCAGGGTGTTTGCCTTGCACGTGGCTGATCCAGGTTCAATTCCCAGCATCCCACATGGTCCCCCAGCACCACCAGTGCATCCTGGGTGTGACCCAAAAAGGGGAAAAAAAAATGCCCAACTCCTGAGAGGTAAAGACGCCAGTTTAACCCACTGACACCGAGCTAGTTTCTACCCATCTGAGTAACCTCGAGAGAGGGGTCACCACGACCTCTATATTGGACCTGAAAAGGAAGACAGACATTTCACTTCTTATTCACCAAAGTAAGATGAGCCTAAATTTCACATTGCCCGGATGACTCATCCAGAGCAACTGTGAAAATCAGAGTTTTGACCCCAGATGAGTTGCCTGACCCACCTTAAATAGGAGCTCAGACACTGGGACATGTCCCACTCCGTCTCCAACCCAGGCGCCAACCAGAAGTCTCTAATGCCTCTGGACATCACGTTCCTCACCTTTTCTAGCCAGGACGAAAAAGCCTTTGCAGCTAACGTCACATAAGGCCAAGACCTGGGACAGCATTTCCCAGCTGACAGCGGGGGACGGAAACTCTCCTCTGGCCTTCTGGGAACCGAGGGCCCCAGCCACTGGGCCCAGTCAGCCCAGTCTCGGAGGCCTGCGAGGCCCCTGTGCCATGCCGGGAGTGGGCAGCTCTGCCAGCGAAGGTCACCAGCCCCACGCCACCCCTGTCCTTCCCGCTGTGTGTATCTCTGTGCAGACTCTGGCCCTGTGCTCCAGACTTTTTTCTCTGAAACATGGGGTGACAATGCTACCGAGAAATGAGCCACAGAAGTTGCACGAGTCGATGAACAGTTTCTCCTGCAGTGCTTACGGACAAGTGGATTCACTCTCGGACGGTCTAGGAAGAAGCTGGGCCACACCACCTCCGTGCAGGAGAAAGCCGGGCCCGCACCCACTTCCATACAGACCAACAGGACTTGCGGTAGCCGGCTGATGAGTGCAAGCAACACTACCCAGTGCACTTACTGCACCTGGCAAGGTGACTACATTTAGGAGCAAAGGTAACTTTTGAAACTCAATCAGAAGGAATAGTTTCACATTTCTCTTAGAAGAAAAATGTGGCCAGAGCAACAGTCCAGTGGGTAGGGTGGTTTGCCTTGCACACACCTGTTATGGCTGGATCCCAGCATCCCGTATGGTCCCCTAAAGCGCCGCCAGGTGTGATTCCTAAGTGCAGAGCCAGGAGCAACCCGAGCATCACCAGGTGTGATCCAAAAAGCAAATTAAAAAAAAAAAATCTTTCTGTAATTTGTTTTTTGGTTGGCTTTTTGAGTCACACCCAGTGGTGCTGAGGGCTGACTCCTGGCTCTGCACTATCACTGCTGAAAGGACCCCGGGACCCTATGAGGTGCCAGGGGGTGAATCTGGGTCAGCCACGTGCAAAGCCAAGGCCCTACTGCCCTGTACGATCACTCCGGCCCCCAGGATTCTTCTAATCACAATTTCACCTGAGAACTGCAGCATCATTTCATTATGCCCAGGAATACAATGCCCCATGGGTAACAGACCATGATCCTGTCCCCGGGGGCACTAGTGAGGCTGCTGCCCAGGTCCCCCACTTGCTCTTGGCGAGCTAGAAGCATCAGGAGGGAAGCCACGGCACGACTCAATTATTCAAGGCTGAACTTTCCGTTTTAGAGGCGTTCCCCTGCCTCCCGTTTCTCTTGCTCTCCCGCCTTGCTCAGGTTCATTACTTGTTAATACCTGCCACGGTCCCTCTGCGGTGTGGATAGGGGGCAGGGCAGGAAGGCCGAGGCTAATGGTCCCCAACGGCCCAGGGAGGGGTGGCCCGGGGGCCCACTCACTTCCCGGGGCAGATCCAAGCCAAGTGCCTGTGAAACAGGGCCCAGGAGATCCAGCCCAGCACGGCCGGACAGAGCGGGCCGTCTGCAGAGGCCCTGCCCAAGGCCCGACATAGCGGGCCGTCTGCCTTCTAGCCAGAGCGAGACCCAGGAGCCACAGGCCAGGGAACTTCATGGCATTTTCTTCTACGATGCTGAGACACCCAGAGGTGTAAGGAGCAATGTTCACAGACAACGGAAAAAATGATTATCCAGGAATCTTACTCACTTACAATTACAGATCAGAATTGTGTTGTTGTTTTGTCTGGGGGCAAGGCTGGGCAGTGCTCAGGGATGTTCCTGGTGCGGCTTAGGGAACCTTATGCAGCACCTGGCATCAAACCCAGCCCACCGTGTGCGAGCCAAGTGCCTTTCCCACTTTTCTCTCCAGCACACGCCCCCTCAATTTCTATGAATGACTGGAATAGGAAGCTCGCATTCCTATTTTCAAGTATCGAGCACATAGAGTAAAAGGTCTAACCAAGGGGAGGGAGTGCTCGGCGGCTTACACATGCTCCGTGTGTGCGAATTCCCAGGTTCACTCTCCAGCACTTTCTCTCGCCTCTGTGCCCCAAAAGTCTTCATTGTCAATGGGGAAAAAAGTTTGTGTAACTATTTATGGTGACAGATTTAACTAAACCCAGTGCAGTGATCATTTTTCAGTGTACACAGATATTGAATCATGATTCTGTACATGTGAAACTAATATGCCGTATGTCTAATAGAACTCAACAACAACAACAACAACAAAAATGTGGGGGTCAGAGTGATACTACAGCAGGGAGGGCACCTCATTGCCCACCGAATCGGGTTCTATACCCAGTACCTCATATGGTCCCCAGAGCCCTACCAGGAATAATTCCCGAGTGCAGAGCCAGAAGTAACCCCTAAACATCACTGGGTGTCACCCCTAAACAAAAACAAAAAATTGTGGCTGTCAGGGAAAAAAGATCCACTAAAAAAAAAAGTGTCAGACCAACGACCCTCTGGATTAATGTACCACCAAGCAGAATTTACATGGCTGCAGGTAAAATATTCATAATAGCCTGCAAGTAATCACTACTTGCTCTTTTGATCAACAGCCTAATTCAAATGAAAAATGGAAACTCAATTACTGTTAGTTTTATCATCACCCTCTCCTGTCGCCTCTGGTCTCTGCTTTTCTTTCATCCATTAGATTCCCCAATTATCACATTAATCAAAAGCTCAATTACTCTTCTGTTACTCATTTAAAAGGAAAAGGAGTAAAAGCCTGCCAGGGAGATTTTAAGAGTGGGGGGGATAAAAGCCGGAGCATCTTGGGCTCCACGTTGAAGGAGCTAATCCGTGCTTGTTCATTAATTGCTCCTGAATGAATATTGCCCTCGTGAGAGTTACTAATTTCCCCCCTTGTGGGAGAGAGTTTGGATTTCTGGTAAAGGCTGAATCTAGGTCAAATCCTATTATCGAGAACTAATTCAAGTACAAATTAGTTTGGGAGGCCAGACTTTTCCTGTGGTAGCAGAATTTTGCTTTGAGCTACAGGACAGGGCAGAAGACCCGTGGTCACTGCAGCATCTTGCTGGCCTGCCGACGGCCCACCAGCACCGGCCATTCATCTCGAGCTTTTTCTGCCCACCCGGGAGGGCCCTGCGGGTATTCGGACACATCCACCTCCTGGGAAAGGTCCACGGAGGCCCTCACACAGGTTCCCAACTCCTTCCGAGCTCCTGGGTAGGTAATGAACGAACGAACGAACACACACACACACACACACTCTCTCTCTCTCTCTCTCTCTCTCTCACACACACTTCTGAGCACTTAAGTTTTTCTTTTTTGTTTTGTTTTTTGGGTCACACCCGGCAATGCACAGGGGTTACTCCTGGCTTTGCACTCAGGAATTACTCCTGGTGGTGCTCGGGGAACCATATAGAATGCTGGGAATTGAACTTGGGTCAGCCATGGGCGAGGCAAACACCCTACCCACTGTACTATCGCTCCAGTCCCTTAAGTTTTTCTTAAAGACGGGTATTTCTGGGGCTGGAGCGACAGCACAGCGGGTAGGGCATTTGCCTTGCACATGGCCCACCCAGGTTTGATCCCCAGCATCCTATATGGTCCCCCGAGCACCGCTAGGAGTAATAACTGAGTGCAAAGCCAGGAGTAAGCCCTGAGCATCGCTGGGTGTGACCCAAAAAGCAAAATAAGTAAATTTTAAAAATAATAAAATTAATGGCTTAGAAACTACTAGAAAATATACTTATTTCTCAAATATCAAGTATGGACTTCAAACATAAAAAGTAAAGTAAAGGCCCTCCCGTTGATCATCGATTTGCTCGAGCGGGCCCAGTAACGTCTCCATTGGAGACTTTGTTGTTACTTGTGTCTGGCATATCGAATACTCTCGGTAGCTTGCCGGGCTCTCCGAGAGGGGCAGAGGAATCGAACTCGGGTCGGCCATGTTGGCTGCGTGCAAGGCAAACGCCCTACCGCTGTGCTATGGACTTCAAACATGAACTTTCTTTTTTCAACTTTTGGGCCACACCCTATGATATCCAGGCTTCCTCCTGGCTCTGCACTCAGGAATCACTCCTGACGGTGCTTGGGAGACCCTATGGGATGCCGGGGATTGAACCCGGGTCGGCCGAGTGCAGGCAAGCGCCATCCCTGCTTTACTATTACTCCAACCCTGAATATGAGCTTTCTACGGTCCATGAAGCATCTAGGAAATGCAAAGCTAGGACTCTCTAGATGGAAAACGCTCAGACACACAGGGCAGAAGACACATGGCTCCTTCAAAGGAGCCAGGACAAAAGGAAAGAAAAAAGATGCAATCAAGGATGATCTTCGGGTACAAAGAATCAACATCGTGAGAAGCACCCAGCCATCCAGCACAAGTGATGGAGAGAGCGGTGGCTCCAACCCAGGCCCTACCTCTGTGTCCCAGGAATCATGGAAGACGGGGTTCCGACTGCTTCTCTTGGTCTGAGGGGGAAGATGGTGGTCGTCTTCACTGCCGTTCCTTCTCCTTTTCCTGAAATGAAGGAAGAGAATTATTTCACAATTAACACTTTGGAAAGTTCTAAACCAGAGAGAGACAGCACAGTTAAGGGACTGGTCTTGCACGCGGCTGACCCCAGCTTGATTCTGGGCTCAGAATACGGCCCCCAGAGCAGTGCTGGGAGTGACCCTGAGCACTGACCTGGGAGTAAGCCTGAGCAGCACCAGGGGAAGCCCCCCCAAGAAAAAAACCAAAAAATATCATAAACCACAGAAAGATATAAATGTGTCCCCCAAACCCGGATAAACAGAATCCTTAAGGAGGTGCAACAGGTTAAAAGTTGAGGGGGTGGGGGCGGCTAGAGCGACAGTGGGGAGGGAGTTTGCCTTGCATGCAGCCCACCCGGGTTTGATCCCCAGCACCCCATCTGGTCTCCCAACCCCCACGAGAAGTGAGCCCTAAGCTTACAGCCAGGAGTCATCCCTGAACATCGCTGAGTGGGAACAAAACAAAACAAGCTGGAAGTCCCTCCTGCCAAGAGCAGGGCAAGAGGGGCCAGAGTGCACAGGCAGGCATAGGCTTTGCACATGGGAGCCGTGGTCTTAAGCCCTGGCACCACACGGTCCCCTGAGCATCGCCCAGTGTGGCCCCCAGCTTACTAATGTAAACAAAAGCCGGGGTCTAACTGGCTCCACTCTCTGTCACCACCTGAGTCAAGTTATTTTCTTTCTATACTTGAGAAAACTCAACTGCATCTGCATCCTTCCCAGTTTTAGTCCCTCTGTATGGCAAGTGCAGACAGGAGAGGGCTTCTGTTTTGGTTCTGTCTCTGCCTATTTCCTTCAGATCCTCGAGGAGACTCAAGAACACTGCTAGAGGCGCGGCCGCCTCTCCGCTCCAGCTTTCTCATGCTCCAGAGTCTCCCAACTGTCGCCTTCAACAAAAACCCTCCATCCCCTAAGGCATCAGTGATGCTCCAAGATCATCCCTGGAAAGGCTGTTTCGGGCCAATGAGCTTGCCTGCTCTGGCCGGAGGCGGCTAGTATGACAAGGGGCGTTGCTTGACCGTTACTGGGAAGAGTTTAGCACAAGCGGCCCAAACTCTTCATTAAAAGAGAAAGAATTCCCATCTTTCTCAGCCTAGTGTTCTCAGCTATGTAACAAGAAAGAATTTTAAGCACTATATTCAAAAATCAAGTTCGGGGTGGGGTTGGGGGGAGGGTAACTGCCAACCTGCTGGCAAACAAACCAGTTAAAGGTTTAATTTTAAGTCAAACTGCCTCAACATGATAGCTGTCAGCCACACATAGTTAACCGAAACTTGACAAAATTTAGAGGCCGGAGCCCACAGTACAGCAGGCAGGGTGCAGCCTTGTACGGGGTCGACCCAGGCACTCTATGTAGTGTCTGGAGAACCACCAGGAGTGACTCCTGAACGCAGAGCCAAGAGTAAGCCCTGAGCATCACTGGGTGTGGCCCCCAAGCAAAAGAAAACAAAAAACCTTAACGAGATTTTAAAATCTAGCTCTTCTGTATGGAGCCACAGTTTCCTAGTACTCAACACCCGCCACGCAGGGTCTAGTGGACACACCTGGCATCGGCCCAGTTATACAAAACAGCAACACCCTTTTTCTTTTTTCCACCACATCCAGTGGTGCTCAGGAGCAGTACACCTGGCTCTGCACTTAGCAATGACTGCTGGCAGTGCCCAAGGGACCAGGGGGGTCATCCAGGGTGCTGGGAACTCGAGCCGGGCTGGCAGGATGCAGGGCAAGCGCCTTAACTTCTCCTTCTGCCTCTCTGGCCTTCGAATGATACCCAAACTTCTGCAACTGCCAAAACCTAGTGAGAGGTGCGAACAGCCCCTGACATTTTCTGCCGGGCACCCGGCATGTCTTCTCTAGACTCCATTCATATGGGCGGGCAGGGGCGCTGAAGGCAAGAGACCGGGGAGCACCCAATCACCACCCGTGGCCACACTGCACCCGCGGCTTTCACACTGAGTATGGATCGGGTGTCCAGGCTTGGAACGCACGAGAGAAAGAGCCTGGTGGTTTTGAGAGAGCAATAGCCAACCAGTAGAGGGCTACCCAGGCCATCCTAAGGCTTCTAACATCCCAACTTTGTAAAATAAGCCCATTTGTGCCCATAAACTTCATCCCAGGAAACTAGATTTGGGGGTGTTTGTTTTGGGGCCATATCCGATGATGCTCGGGGTGACTCTGGCTCGGCATTCAGGCTTACTCCTGGTGGTGTTGGTGGGGGGGGATGGTGGCCATATGGGCTGCCAGGGGATGAATTCAAAACGGGCTGGCTGTGTGCAAGGCAAGCGTCAGCCCTGCCCCTCTCCGAAGACCATGGCAGTGCTGGTGGAAACGTGCCACCCTTGCGAGGGACCATGGGTGCCCCAAGAGTAGCTCACTGACAGGTCCCCGGACGCTGTGACCAATGTGCCAACAGCTGAGGGTGCTTTGGGCAGCTGAGTCATGAACACAGAGCCTGACCCAAGCTTTCCAATTTCCCCTTTGAGAACAGGGCACGTGTCCCTGCAGCCAGCAACGTGGGTCTGAACATCCCGGGAGCTGTGAGGCAAGACTGAGTGGAAGAAAAAAAGGACGGGCTGCTTCTGTAGATTCCACCTGAGCTCTGAGAAAGTCTCCTCTCAGTCGGCAGGTTTCTCCGGGCACTGGGACGGCCGGGGCCCTCTCCTGCAGAAGGTTCTAAACGAGAGGCCAGCAGGCAGTGCTCCCGGCATGCTCTTTCCCCGGGGCCTCCCAGACCCCTCCTTTGAAGCATTCCTCTTCCAACAAATTGTTAATAATTGGCAGGATCACAGCTTTGTGAGCTACCCTATCTGCACCATCGGCCAGATGACAGCTTCTGACATTAATGCCACAGACCAGGCTCCCATTTGAGCTGCCACCCTGTAATTGATTAGGTTCACCCTAGCCATCTAGTTACAGATTAATGTCTAGCTTGCTACGTATAAGCAGGGCTGGTCCCAGTTCTCTCCAAGCGTCCTGTCATCCTCTACTGCACTGAGAAAGAATTAGAGCGTATGGAGACTTTGGTGGCTTTCAAACTTAGGCGGGGGAATAAAAAGGAACCAAAAAAAAAAAAGTTTTTCCTGTCCAAAAAAAAAAAATCACTACATATGATAAAAAGAGAACATCAGTTGTGCTTAAAGGGGCCTCACATCCGGGTCAACCCAGGACAAGTGAGCCGAAATGAAAAACCACCTCGGGGGCGGGAGGGAGGGGGAGGGCTAGGGGCACCAAGGAAAGAAAAACAACTTTCTCAGACCAACCCGAAGTGGAGGAACAGGCCTGGAAACCCGGCAGGAGCGGGTTGCAGATGCTGAACTGGCAGAGCTGAGCCATTGTACCCCAATGAGGGCAGGAGGCGAGGTAAGAACACCCCCCACCCCATCCCACCCCCGCAAATCAAAGGCCTTCTTTATGGCCCAGTGCTACCAGTACCAACACGCCAGGCAGATCAAAGCCACCAACACACTCAGGTTATCTGTGCACAGTCCTGGGGACTTGCCACCCCCTTACAGGAGGGTCGGGCTCCTGCAGCTTACTGCGGGGACACCCGTCCGGGCTGTCGGTACCCTGCCGGGGTTTGAGGAGCAGAGACAGGTCTCATCACCCCTGTGTGGGGGAACCCCTGTCTGTGTGGGGGGTGGGTGGGTGGGATGGTCCTGACTGCCGCATCTCATTTGCTGTTTCCTACACCAGGGCTACCCAGCTCCCCCGCCCCCCCCCCCCACTCCTGAGCCAAAGCAGCCCCCTCCGCAGAAGTTCAGGAAGCCCAGATCCACCAGGAGATGTGCTGCTAGAAGGGGCCATGGGGCGCAGGGCCCTGGGGACCTGACCACCAGGGCCCGTTCCATCAGCTGAACTCCCCACCTCGGGGTGGGGGTGAGGGGGGAAGCAGGGGGGCGTCGGGGGGGGCACAGACACACGCCGTCTCCCTCCCTCCCTCCCTGGTACTCCCGTGCCAGGCTTCCACTTCATCCAACTCCACCTGTTGGGACTTTCCTGATGGGCAGGAAAACCCGATCCCACTATCCTGGAGGAGCCCCTAGGAAGGGGCGTCCTCTCCCCCGCACCCCTTCCTCCCGCGTGGAAAGGACGACAAACCCCACAACGCTCCCTTCGAGTGGCTTAAGCAGGCTCGGGCAGGCGGGCCTAAGCCCCCCACCCCAACCCCGAGGCTCCACAGGAGACTGGGGGTCGTGAGCGGGATTGGGGGGATGGGGGGCAGCGGGGCTCCGCGGTACCCCTCAAACGGCTCCCGTCGCCCCGGAACAGTTTCGAACCCGGCCCGGTCCGGCTCCGGGCCCACAACCGTCCAGTCCCGGCGGCTGGCACCGCGGTCCTCCCGCTCGACGACCCTCCGCACCCCCGACCCCCGGCCCGGCCCCCGCGGCGGGGCCGAGCCCAGGCCTGGACGCTGACCTTGGTGGGGGCGGGGAGAGGCCGCGGCGGCCCGGCCCGGGGGGCTGTCCGCGCCGGCCCGGGACCCTCTCCCCCTTCCCTCCCTCCCAGACCCCGCGGGAGGGACCCCTCGACCGCCGCCGGGGCTGGGACCACCCCTCCGGACTCGGCTCCCCGAGACCCGCGGGGCCGGGGGGTGGCGCCAGGCCGGGGGGCGCGGCCGGGCGCTCCTAGGAGCCCCCGGGGGCCGCGGCGGGGGCGGGTCGCGCCCCTCGTCCCCCCTCACCACCCCCAGCCCCCCGCGCGCGACCCCCGCCGGGTCGGCGCTCACCTGGGCCGGAGGCGCTCGCTCATGGCAGCCGGCGGCGGGGAGCGGCGCGGCGCCGCCCGGCTCCCGGCGGGAACTGAGGCCGCGGGGTTCCGGCGGCCGCCACGCCCACCGCCCCGGGCCTTGGCTCGGGCCGCCGCTCGGGTGGACGCCGCCGGCGGAGAGGAGCCCTCGGTGGGACCCGTCCCCCCGCCACTTCCGGCGTCGCCTCCTCCGCGCCCCCCCATGTCGCCGCGGCCTCGAGCCCCGCCCTCCCGCGCCTGCGCAGCGGCGCCGACGCGCGGCCCCGCCCCCAGGAAGAGGCGGGTCCCCAGCGGGCGGGGCGGGGCGGGGCGGCGCGACGGAGGCGCCGCGGGGAGAGAAGGCCCCCAACAGAGGTGGCCTGCGCATTCGCCTGCCCGCGACGACGCCGGCTCGCCGCTGCGCGCCCCGGGCGGTGGTTGGGGGACGTCACAATGGGAGCACGCGGGGTCTGGGCGGGGGCGCTCTGTGAGGTAACCGGGCTGCCTGGCGGGGACGGTGGGGGGGGGGGCGCGCGTGTTTTCCTCCCCGAAACAGCGGAGGCCCCTCAGGCAGCTGCGCGGACGGCCCGCGGCGAGTCCCGGAAGCGACGGCGGTGGCGGCGGCGGCGGCGCGTGCGCGCGGGCGGGCGGGCGTCACGGTGCGGGGCGCCCGGGCTGGCCGGCCACAGGTGGGCACGCTGCCCCGGGCCGGGCCTCCGCGCTGCCCCCGACTCCCCAGCGCCCTCCTTTCTAGGCGAGGGCGGGCAGGCTCCCGGGGGGCTTCGCGGAGCCGCAGGAGGAGCCCGGTGTGGCGGGGCCATGCGCGCGTCCCCCGGGGAAGCGGGGCCCGGGCCGGCCGGGAGAAGATGCGCGCGGGAGGGGAGGATGCCGGGGGCCGCAGGGGGCTGCCCTCCGCCGCCCGGGCGGTGGGCACGAGCCCCGGCCCCGCCTCTCCTCCCTGCCAGCCGCCCCCCACCCCCAGTCCCCTCCCTCTCCGTGTCTTGCACAGGGTCCGTTCCTCCGGAGTGGCCCACGGCCCCTCGCCAAAGCACGCGGAGCCGCAGACTCTTGGAGCATCTCCCCGAAAGCTCCGGTAAGAGAAGCAGCAGCGGCAAGGGGCCAGGACCGCCTTGCACGCGCCGACCCCGGTTCTAGCCCCCCGCGCCCTCTCGCCGCTGGGGTCCCCAGACCCCAAGCCAGGGAGCCAAAGGCAGAAGCGGCGCGGGGAGACCTTCCCGGGGGTGGGGCGCACGGGGCCAGGAAAAGGGAGCGTGGGGAGCTGGCCGGGCGCGCGCAGCCGGCCCGAGGCTCGTGGACCCGGCTCATGTCAGTACATCAACGGCCCCCTCCCCGGGGAACGTTTATTATATTGCTGGAAGGAAACCTCCCAAAAATTTTGCGTGAAGTCGATTGGTAGAGAGCTTGTAGTTTGCCCGGTGTCGTGGGGGAGCAGGTGAGCTGGTTGCTTTCCACGTGGGTTCACCGGGATTATGTTTTTGGTTTTTGGTGAATGGTTTCAGGATCTCTCATGCTGACCTCTTTTGGGGGGCGGGGGTCAGGAGGTATTGTCAGTCGGGGTGCTGCATAATGATGGTATCTGCACGGTTACATCTAGAGGAAGAATTCATTCGTGAAGCAGCTCGTGCCAGACTGAGCTGGGTTTTAAGAATATGTCTGTAGTCTGCGTAGACATGAAGCTTGATAGAAAGGACAAGAGATGTAAAAGAAGGAAATGAGTTTCAACTGAACGTTGGGGTTAACTACTTTTCCGAATTTGGGATATGAACAAAAAGATGCAACTGGTGATAGATGCTATAATATTTTTGCATTGTGCTTGTTTTGGATATATTGCACAAAGAAATGCATGTAACTATATATAATTGTTAAGAATTCATTGTCCCACAGACTAAGTAAAAAGGAGGGTCCATGTTTAGTCCATGTACAAATTATTTGTGCATTATATACCTTTAAGTGTACCTGTCTGTATATTTGCACTCTAATTTGCACGTTCGTGTACTTGTATGTATATATGTGTACTACTAATACTTTTAGTGTTGGCAGAATTTTATCTCTCATGCTTAGGCACAAGTGGTCTAGTATTTTTGTTTGCTTTTGTTTGGGGGTCACACCGGGCCATGCTCTGGTTATTCCTGGCTCCACATGCAGCGATCACTTCTGTCTTCAGGGGACCATATGGGCTGCTGGGGATGGAACCCAGGTTGCCCTTGTGCAAGGCAAATTCCCTCTTTGCTGTACTTTTGCTCCAGCCCCAAAAATGTTCTAGTATTTTTTTCCTATCTGTGTAAACTCAAGAAAGGGGCACGGCACACAGCAGCGGTGGCTCTCTCTCTCCCGCCGCCCGCGTTGGGTAGTCTCACCCTTCTTCCCCCACCCCGGGGAGGTTGATGGCGATGGGCAGGCAAAGGAAGGAACGAGGGCCAGACTGGTTGGTCTTAGTCGCAGTTTATTCCAATCCTTTCTCCATCCACACCAGTCTCCCTTCTCTGCCTCCGCTTCTTCTTCCCCCATGCTACTTCATTCTCCTTTTCCATCCCCCGTCATCCTCCTCCTCTTCCTTCTGATCCCCCAGTCCACTCTTAGAGTCCAGTTCAATCCCAAAGCATGAGGGGTTGGGGTATTAATTACAAATAGGTGTGGTCACAATCATTAGGGGTAGAACTCTCCCTCAGGGAAAGCCGCTCCTAGGACAGATCCTCTCTCAGCAGGACGACCCACCCTAGAGCAGAATCCCATGGGTGTGCCTCTCCTCTCCTTGTCCGACAAGCATATAAGGATATATAATATAAATCATTTTGTATGGATACAGTAAGAAATATCTTAAACTTATAGAATTGTTCTCCTAGGGCCATCTAAATCTCAGACTACAGTGCTCAGGCCAGATAGTCTTTCCCACCCCTAGCAGGATCCTAGCCTCGTCGTTACTTTTGGATCATGACAGCATTTGTCTATGATCAAACTCTTAACTTATAGTTAAGAATCATGGCACTTTGGCCTGACCCATTTCGATGCCAGGGTAGCTTACCGCTTGCCCTGGGTCCATTCAGTCCCTCGTCGGGACCCTCCTTTTGGGGTGTTAGGAACTAAGGGCAACTGAGGCTTAAGTCGAGAAAGCAGATGCCCGGGAGTGAATAATATTCGGAGCCAATCAAATCCTAAGTTACAAAGCATGATGTCAACGGTTTTCCTGTATCAATACAAAAAGGACATTGCTTTAAAGTAAACTGTTCATAAGGCATAAGGAGAGGAGAAAGGCAATATTTCACTCATACATATAAAATCATAGATTTCTGGGGAATCTAACCTTACAAATTAACAGAGTCTGATTAGGGGGAAAGCTGACTAACTGGTTGGGGAGGAGAGCATAGGGAAGAATATTTACAGATAAACACAATGGAATGGAAGTGCCTCAGGAGCACTGTGATGGGTGCGACCAGATAAACCTAAGCTCCTTGTGGAGGAAGGACAAAGCAATGTCATCCTACACTATCCAGTGAGTCTTTTATGCATCATTTAGGAAAATACCAACAACCTTCCATTCAGCCTAGCAAGAGTTTCAGTTCTCACCATCCTTTACATGTAAAGATTCTTTAAAATATGGGTTTGATCCCTGGCATCTCATATGGTCCCCTGAGCACTGCCAGGAGTGATCCCTGAAAAATTATTTATCCTCTTAGGATAGCTAATTGATTTGCTGCAGCATTGGTGTCAGTATTCTATTCTGACTGGTAGTTTGAACATTTTGTCCACTAGCCATCATTTATTCATTGATCTTGAATTTGGACGCTTGCTTACCATTCATAAGGAATGCTGAAGAAAGTCAATTGTGTTTTGTAATGCTTGATTCCTAGAAGACCTCAATTTAAAATAGGCGTAAATAGAATAAAAAATACATAAATTAGGTCCTCTGTTTTTTCAAATTCCGTACCTTCTGTAATTCCACATTTTCTCTTTTCCTTTTTCCCAGGAATAGGAGGCTGCCATTTCCCACAACATGGAAGTGTGTCCTTATTGCAAGAAGCCATTTAAACGATTGAAATCCCATTTACCGCACTGTAAGAAGATTGAGGCAGCTGGCCGTGAGGATCAGAAAGCTCTTCCATCCGAACCAGCTCCACTCGCAAGTGGTAAAAAGACCAGACGGCCCCTCCAGGATGAGAAGGAGCCAGGAACGGGAGTCGGGGAAAGATGCACCAAGATAACAAGGGACTTGCCGGGAAGACCCGTTCAGCCATTTCCTCCGCAAGAGGTCAGCGTGGGAAGCGCAGGTTCCAGCGAGGCAGGTGGCGACATCAGGAACCCAACCCCAGGCTCCCTGCGACTGTCGGGAAACACTGTGCCAACGGCAGCGGGCGGCACCCCCAAAGCCAAGCCCCCCCGGGGCCCTAGAGCCGAGCGGAGGGGAAGCGAGCCTGCACAGACGGAAGCAGCTCTACCCCGGGGCCCCGTGAAACCTTCCTTGTCCAGCCCAGAGAGAAGTTACTCCTCGGCCTTAGCAAAGAACATTGAGGCCATTTCGGCCCATTTCAGTGTGGACAGAACCACTCCCTCCGGACAGAAGCTTCAGGGAAAAGCGCCACCCGGGGCCCCAAGGGGTGACACCCATAACTCTACCACCAGTCTTGGCCACACTAGCCAAGCCAGGGCTAGCGAGCATATCTCACGTGTGCCCCTGGGTGTGGCCGGCTCTGGGACTCAGGCGCCGGCTCCAGGACCACCGAGCCTCCGTTTGCGCGTGATCTTGAGAGACGCAAAGCAGGGCCAGGAGGCCTTAGGCCCCGGACTCCCCCTCGCTGGAGGGGCCCATGGGGGCACAGGCAAGGCCGGGGAGAGCATGGCGGTCGCGCAGGTTTCCACAAGTGGTCACTCCAAGAAGGACCGTCTGGGCCCTGCGGGCCCTGGGCTGAGGGCCCGAGATGCAGCTCCCGGCTTGAGTTGGCCACGGGCCGGCCCGAAGGCTGCTTTCCCCAGCCTGGCCGCTCTGACGATGGAGTTCCTCCCGCCTCAGAAAGCTGAGGCCTGCCCCCCTCGGGGGGCCCCTGAGCCCCGGGCCTCACTGCTGAGCCAGTTAGGCTGTGGGGAGTCCATGCTGGGTGCCTTGCCCCAAGCCAAGACCCCCCTGGGGCAGCTGTTGGCCCCGCAGCCGGCCCTGCCCTGCGCCCAGCAGAGCCCCCCGACAGCAGTGGCGGGTGCACTGGGCCTCCAGTGGCTCCCGGAGCTGTACCCGGCCTACCTGGGGCTCGGGATGCTCCCCGGGAAGCTGCAGTACTGGGACATGACGGCGCTGAAGCCGCACTTCGTCAGTCCCCAGGGCGAGAGCCGCTCGCAGGGTAAGCAGGTGCCTTTGGGGGGTCCCCCCCCCCCGCTTGACTGGATCCCCACCCGGGCCTCGGGGGCCACAGAGAGAGTGAGGTGGTTAGGACACTCACCTTGCACGTGGCCTGCGTGGGTTCCATCCCTGGCAGTCCCCGGGTGTCCTGAGCCCACCAGGAGTGCCCCCTCAGCGCTGCAGAGCGTGGCCCCCAAACCAAACCTGCCATCCTATGTCTTTCCTCCTCATGGTTCAGATGTCCTGGGGTACTTCCGGGCCCTGGATGGACCAAACGGGTTGGGGAAAAGGGGGTTGCTCCTGGCCCCTGCCCCCCTTACCCAGGGACCTGGCAGCTGTGTCTGTGGGACCCCGGTGCCAGGAGGGGGCTGGGCAGGTGGAGACCTGCGGGCACTCTGGCAGAATCAGACCCTCCTGGTCGGCCAGAGAGGGTGGGAGTCCAGGGCGATCTGGCCAGACGCACGGTCCATTCCACACTCGGGCAGGTCAGGAAGTCCCGGCAGAGTGATTTGGGGGCAGCACGGGCCAAGGTTGGCTGGGGAGAAGGGACTGTGGCACTGGGAACGCAAGTCCCCGAGAGCCGGAGCCTGTGGAGGCTGAGCCTTGGCCGCTGGGAGTGGACTCTGGGGCGACTCCAGAAGACCCTGCACCCCAGAGCAGCTGGAGGCCTCCGAGAGAGCCAAGAAGTGGTCCCCCCCCATTATTTTCTTTCGTGGGTTCTCCTGTAGCGACAGACTCTTTGTCAGGAGCACTGCGGGGCTGAGAATGGTTATGGTGCTCCACAGACAGTGCTCTGTGGACTACTGGATGGGGCTGTTCCTTGTCAGGTACTCTGCTCATGTTTCTCTGCTGGTTTTGTGAGCTGCTGTGGCTCAAGACAGCTGCACCCTCACTCCCCCCACCTGGCTATGCCTTTGACTGCTCTTTTGCTAAATTTTGGCTTTTGGGGTCACACCCAGCAATGCTCAGGGCTTACTCCTAGCTCTGCACTAAGGACTCACTCCTGGCGGTGCTCAAGGACCATATGGGAAGTTGGAGATCGAACCCAGGTCAGCTGCGTGCAGGCCAACGCCCTACCTGCGGTGCTATCACTCTGGCCCATGTAGGCTCCTGGCCCAGCCATAGTCTTCAGCCTTTCCACCATGCGTCCCGGGGAGTTAACACGAGTATGTTGGTACCTTGTGGCTCCTCGAGCCAGCCTGGCCATTTCTGTGTATCTCAGCCTGATTTCCAACTTCTTCTGTGCCCCTGGACTCTCTTCCCCAACCAGCTCTACATGGTCCTGTTCTAAACTAGGTTTTGAGGGCCCTGTAGGGTCCTGCTAGTCCCTACCTTAGCTTTTTGATGATTTGAGGGCTACACCTGGTAGTATTCGGGGCTGACTCTTGGCTCTAAACTTGGGTCAGTCTTGGTGGGGCTTGGGGGGCCCTGTGGGGTGCCAGGGATGAAGCCTGGGTCAGGTACCTGCATATATATATACAGATATATATATATACACACACACACACACTGGGAGGGGTAGTGAGCAGTCTTCGTGCGAGCCGTCGGTACTAGTGGCGCCGTTTGCTGTGTCCTGGCTGGTGACCCGCCCAAGAGCAGAGGAGCCGGCATGGGGAGAAATTAAACCAGTGGCCTCGGGAACCCTTCTGTCGAGTTCTTGAATTGCGTGTGAGTGCCGTGCAGTGCTGGTCAGCGGGTGGCTGACCACCACGCAGGCTGGGTACGTGCCAACCCACAAGGGCGCTTCATAGCAAGGCAGACTGTTTTGCTGAAACGTGCAGATGATAGAAACCCTAAGTGGCCGTTTGCTGCAGCCTGTCCACAAGGACCCGCTGGACAGTATAGTCAGAAGCTTACCAATGGGCCCGAGAGAAAATCCAGCAGCAGGGCACTGGCCTTGGACGCGACCAATCTGGGGTCAATCCAAAGCACCCCATTGGGTCTCCTGGGCCCACCAGGAGTGAGTCCTGAGTGTTGAGCCAGGAGTAAGCCCCAACACTGCCAGGTGTGGCCCAAAGAACCCACCCCCCAAAGAATCCCATGATTCAGGGTGCAGGGTGAAGGCATTTGCCCCAGGTTGACTCCCGCATGCCCAGCACCACATGCCTGCCCTTCCCCCTACGAGGGCGTGTCTGGGTGTCGGCCCTGCCCCGGGTGACCCCATTCCTGCCAGCTGGCACCGGGTGCGGGCTGCGGGCCACCCATCGTGACCCATGACCCATGACTGGCTTCTCTTCGGAACCGTAGTTCCTTTGTTGGGAAGAAGTTGGACCGGTCTCAGGAGCCTGGAACCCGCTGGCCTCACCCCCTCCAACCTCTCTCTCACCAGCCTCTTGGCAGCAGTTCAAAGAGGTGAGACTGGAGCCGTGGACGCGGGGTCAGGCCTGGGGACCCGCTGCCCTGCGGGGGCCAAGGGGGCCGCCGCTCATTGGGAGGCCAGCGTGATTGGCAGGCTCTCGCCCAATAGGCGCTATCGCCCCGCCTCTGGCCCCGCCCCCGTTCTGCCTTGTAATTGACTGAGGTTTCTGCCTCTAGCGTGATGCTGGGGTCATGGCCGGGGTGCGGCAGCCCTCGCTGCCCGCGGCCCTGACCCCCGCCCATCCCTGTGTCTCTGCAGGCTGCCTCAAGTGCGGCACGTCCATGCGGAGCGGCGTGGGCAGCGTGACCATGCTCTTCACTGGCTACTTCGTCCTCTGCTGCAACTGGAGCTTCAAGCATCTGAGTGAGGCCCCTTCCCCTTCCCTGGGCAGTGGGCAGTGGCCAATGGCCTGTTGCAGGAGCTAACTGGAGCCGGGCAGGCGTGAGGTTTGCCCTCGCAGACCCGGGCCCAGGGTCTGGAGATGCCAGCCTGGATGGTTGGTTGATTGTTTTAGATTTTTTTTTTGGTGGGGGGAGGCCTGGGCCAACCTGGCAGTACTCAGAGATCAAACCCAGGCCAGCCCCTGCAAAGCAAACGTTATACCCACCGTACTTTTGTCACTCCAACCCCATCCGGTTTATTGTGTTTTAATTTTTGCTTCTGAAAGTTCAGGGCCCTTCTCCTGGGTGACAGTTTTTGGTTGGGTTTTGATTGGAGCCCATGCCCAGCAGTGCTCAGAGGCTACTCCTGGCTCTGTGTTCAGGGGTCACTCCTGGGACCATATGGGATGCTAGGGATTAAAGCTGTTGGTCAGCAGTGTGCAAGGCATGTGCCCTAACCACTTGCTTGGCATGCGGCTGGCCCAGGTTCGAGCCCTGGTAGCGGTAGCCCAAATGGTCCCCTGAACCCCACCAGGAGTAAGCCCTGAACATCGGCAAGTGTGGCCAAAACAAAACAAAAAAAAAACCCTCAAGATTTGACTGTTTGGCTTTCCTGGTGAAATTCTATGCCTAGTAAGTGGGTCGGGCTGCAGACAGGGGCCCTTTTTCCCTGGCCCTCTGAGCATCCCTGCAGAGAGGACTGCGCCTGGGCCCACGGCTCCCCTGGCCAGCCCTCCCTTGGCCTCGGGTGGTCCGGCAAAGGGAGGGCAGAAGGGCCTGGCAGCTGAAGCAAAGTCTCTCTCTGTCCCAAGAGCTGCAGCGCTGGCGGAAGTAACGGGCAGACGTCATCGTGATCCCGCGAGAGCCCCAGGAGACAGCGACCTGAGCCGCAGAGGGAGGGCCAGCGGGCAGGGAGAATAAAGGCGTCCAGCCTCAGCCCAGGAGAGTGCTTTTGTCTCTGTGCGGCGCCCACCTCTGCCTGCATGTTTGTCTGCGTCACACTCAGCAGTGACAGGGACATCGTCCCTTCCAGCAGGAGGACGCTTGCCCTGCACACAGTAGACCTGGGTTCAATCCCTGGCACTCCACAGCGTCCCCTGAGCCCTGCCAGGAGTGAGCTCTGAGCTCCACCATGTGTGGCCCCCAAAACCAAAGCTAATATTTTATAAATGGCCCCAGACGGCATAAGCAGAGCCCTGGGCTGGTGGTTGCTGCCCGCACCCTCGTACCCCCAAGGGTCCAAGGTTTGGGGGTTATAAAGATGGGGGGTGGGTGCCTTACTCAAATGTGTTTAGGCCACCGGACTGCTAAGGAAAAACCGACCCTGCGCCACCCCTCTTCATGCCAAGTGCAGTGGGCATCTTGGAGGCCCGGGGCCTGCCCGCCTGTGCTCAGGAACATTTCACTGTTGGTGATGACCCGTGTGTCACGTCAGCACAACGCTGAAATCACAAAAGCCATCGCAGTGACCTGTGTCCTGGAACGGAGTTCCTTCCTCAGAAGGCGTGCTTGGAGGAGCTGTGGTCCTCCCGAGGGCAGCTTTGCACGGGTCGGTGCCGAGAGTCCCAGATGGCTCAGAAGGAGCAGAAGCATTCGCCCGCAGCTGGGTTAGCGCAGGTCCCTGAACCGTTGCTGTCACTTGTAAGAATCCAGGCGACTGGAGCACGGGCTTTGTACATGGGGTCCCCAGGGTGGCCCGAAAAAGAAAACTCAAGGTTTCTTAAGGCACCACCCGAGCTGGCATCAACTCGGAATGTCCCCGTCTGCCAGCTGCTGCCGCTCGGAGCCAGAGGTGCGGGGGCTCATCTTACCCAGCCTTAGAGGAGGGCGGTCACTAGCTGTTGGCTTCTCTTCCTCGGTTGCTAGGGAGGCTCTCCCCTCCTTGCTGCATGTCCTGGCCGTGCAAACCTGAACGTGCCTTATGAGAGTACCCTCACCTCGCCTGCGTGGGGTGGTGTCCTGTCCCCACTCTGCCTACCCACCCGAGGCTGGGTCGCTCAACTTCCCGCCCCTGGAATCAGTTGGAGGCTGCCTGCCGGAGTGTCCCGCAACCCGAACAGTTCAAACAGCCTCTGTCCTGTCTTAGATCCCTACTCTGCCTGAGTGAGGTGGGTGGCAATGTGCAGGGAAGGTGGTCAGGGAGTCCCCAAGCAACCCAGATGAGTGATGGCAGAACCTGCCCAGCTCTGTCCTGGACAGAGTCCCCCGGCCTGGGTCCCGTGCAGAGCTGGGAGCCACTAGATGGCTGTGCACGGCGGCTGGTGGGGGCTCGTGCTTGCCCACCCCCCATCCTCCAGGATCCCATGGGAAGGACTGAGTTTCTGGGGGGAAATCCCAAGTTTTTAACACTGGAGAGCTGTTGAGCTATGGAAAATACTGTGATTTTTCCTCTCTGATGAGAGGTAACTCAGCAATGAGCAAGTATCTGGCACGTGTGAGGTCCTGAGTTTGATCCCTGACACCACAAAAGTCGAAAAGACCAATAAAATGTTTGTACACGATTTCAGCAGCCTTGGCACTTTTATTCTTCCAGTCAAGAGAATGGAGGGTCTCGGGCTGATTTAGAGGGTGGTCGGCAGTGGGACACTTGCTTAGCATGTGATGTCTTGAGTTTGATCACCGGCAGCTTTTAAAAAAAAAACTAGAAAACTTTTTAGTGGTTCAGGTTCCCCCTTCTCTGAAATATGGTACTGGGCTGGAGAGGTGGAACATGGGTTCTGCTGCTTGCCTTGTGAGCGGCCGACTGGCTCAGTCTCAGGTATCACATAGTCCCCCGGGCACTGTCAGGAGTAAGCCCTGGCACTGCTGGGTGTACCCCTCCCCAAAGTTACCACACACCACACCAACGACGTTCCCCAGCAGGCTGCCCTCTGCACCCTCCATTCTGTGGCCACAGATGCTGTTGTGTCCCATTTGACTTGTCTCTTCCAAGATATTTTTTGGTTTGGGGACCACACCTGTAATACTCAGGTTACTTCTGGCTCTGCACCCAGGAATTATCCCAGTGGTGGTGCTCGGGGGACCATTTGGGAAGCTGGGGATCAAACCAGAGTCTACCATGCGCAAGGCAGTTTCCCTACCTGTAGTTCTCTCTCTCTCTCTCTCTCTCTCTCTCTCTCTCTCTCTCTGGCCCTCTTCCCCATCTCTGTGTTTCGCATGTGATGGGGTCATCTGTTTCAGTGGGCTGCTTTAGGCTTTATGGGACCGTTGGCGAGTTTCCAGCCCTTTTGTATTTCTGCTTTACAGAGTTCCCAATCACTCTCCTCAGCTCCCACGTTCCCCTTCCATATTACCAACACCATGACTCATACGGGAATAGGTTTTAAAAGAAAATATGAGGCACTGGAGAGAGAGAACCATGAGCAGGGCTCTTGCCTTCCACCCAACCAGCCAGCATTCGATCCTCAGTGCCACATAGGGTTCCCCTGAGCCCTTCCGGGAGGGAACCCTGGGCACAGAGCCAGGAGCAAACCCTGAGCACTGCTGGGTGTGCCCACTCCCACCCCTGAGAGCTTGGGACCAGAGTGAGTGGTGGCACAGCAGTAGGCCCTCAGCACTGACAGGTGCGACTCAACACCCAACCCAAACACACCCCTACAGAATGCCAGGAGCCGGAGGGGGCAGTGACTGACTGTGGGGTACCCAGTAGTGATCACTGCCCCTGATCTCAGTTTCTGGTGATCCAGCTAGTGTCTGCTTGGCCGCTCCTGCTCCCTACCCCATGTGGCTCAGTCCCCAGCCACCCCAGCCTGTTCCAGGGCCCCGTCTGCTTCCGGGGTAACAGCACTCCAAGACTGTCCTGTTGCGTGGGCTTCCAGTACTGAAGGAGCAGAACCCTCACAGTGGGCCTGGGGGGTCCGCCTGTGCCCTCAGCAGCGTGAGTGGCCCAGAGATGCTGAGTCTCTGCATTTCCAACTCTTCATTCCAGCACGCAACAGAACAAGTGGGCACATGACCCGGTCAGTCCAGCTCCCGAGAGAAAAATCCTAAGCTGTCCACGGAACCGAGGGTGGGTTTCTGAAAACGTCTGCGGATTCTGCTGATACCTAATGCTGAGAGGACCTTGAGGTCCCTACAGGACTCAGGCGCCCCCAGAAATGAGGCCTCTATGGAATAGAAGGTGCCAGAGTGCACCACCAGGGGTGACCCTCATAGGTGCATCGAAACACAGCCTTGTCCAAAGGAGAATCGGTGAGCTGTGGCCCATCGTGGGGGCAGCGCTGTCAGCCCCAGAAGAGAGAGAAAAGGCCCTTTTCCCTCGAATCCACTCGCCCTCAGCCAAGTCCTGGCCCATGGTTCACTGCTGTGAGCCCCCGACAGTGCTGGGAGGCCAGGTGCCCTGTTCTCATTTAAAAGCAGAAAAGTAAAAAAAAAAAAAAGCGGAAAAGTGGAGCTGGAGTGATAGCACAGCGGGTAGGGCTTTTGCCTTGCACGCAGCCGACCCGGGTTTGATTCCCAGCATCCCATATGGTCCCCTGAGCACCGTCAGGAGTAATTCCTGAGTGCATGAGCCAGGAGTAACCCCTGTGCATCGTCGGGTGTGACCCAAAAAACAAAAAAAAATAAAAGCGAAAAAGTGGGGGGCCCTGGGCCAGGGGCCTGTGGGTCCACGGGCAGGGCCAGGAGGAATTGTGCCCCATGGCCGGTTCACCTGCTGCTTGGTTGGGAGGAGACTCCTGGCACGGATCTCTGGGCTGACCCAGGCACATCCAGTCTAAGGCCAGGGTCCCAGCCAGGCCTTCCTGCTGAACTCATTGTTGGAGAAACCTTCGCCCGATTTACAATTGCCTAGGAGTGGAAGAGACAGTTCATGGTCTGAAGGTTCCTTCCCACTGTGGAGTGTAATCCCGCTCAGGGCCAGCAGGGGTCGCTCTCTGCCCAGCTGCTCACAGCTTTTACTGAAATCCCGCTCTGGGCCAGCAGGAGTCGCTCTGCCCTGGGATTCACAGCTCTTACTGAGCTCCCGCTTAGGGCCAGCAGGGGTCGCTCTGGCTGCTCAGAGCATCCGCTGAGATCCCGCTTGGGGCCAGCAGGTGTCGCTCTGCCCCCACTGCTCACAGTTTTTACTGAAATCCCGCTGGGGCCAGCAGGGGCCGCTCTCCGCCCCACGGCTCACGTGCACCTGCCCAGGACGGTTTCTGGGAGGGGTCTCTCCGCTTCCACCCCTTCGCCCAGGTGGGAAATCACAAGCGCAGAGTAAGGAAGGATTTTTTTCACAAGCTGCAGAAATGCTGGGGGGACCCCCCACGTCCTGGTGATTATTCCCAGGGCCAGGGGTCTGGCTCCCGTGACCTCACATGTCCAGTAGCAAATGTCCCCCGGCCAGTTCTGGAATGGGGAGAAGGTGCCAAGCCCCCCGACTGCTCACCCCACCCACTGATCCTCCCTCTGCACCCCTTCTGCCCCCACACAGCTACGCCGCCAGGATTCAGAGCGGGGCCCCCTCTGCAGTCACAAGAAGGGGGACCTGGGGAGATAGGGGGCCCGTTTGGGGTCTTGGGGTGGCTCTGCCTGCTGGTTTAGCACCCCCAGAAGCAAGGGCCTGCACCTGAGTGAGGACAGACAGTGCCCCGTGGGACCATGGCCCCCAGGGACCTTCCTCCAGGAAGCCCTCAGCTGCTCCCACTGTCCCCACCCAGGTGCAGGCCTGCACCGTGGGGCACCTTCTGGGGGTCTCCTGGGGCTGGGCCTCTCTCCCTGCTGGGACACCACCCCCCAGGCAGGTCCCTCCCTCCCTAAGTGCTCCCTGCCTCGGCCCAGCAAGGCCGGTCACGAGCACACAGGGACATTCCTTGGGGCTGTGGTCACCTGGCAGCTCTGCGTTCCTGGGCCTCCGTGGCGCCTGTGAGGGCCACTTCTAAGGCCACGTGCCCCACATCCCCACCCGCCGCACAGAGGCCCGGCCTAGCCTCAGCCCCGGCTGCTGTCTCAGAAGAGACGGCTAAGCCTCCCGTGGTCTGAGCCAGGGCCCCAGTGCTGCCCAGAGAGGCTCGG